GTCATCTGCAACGTCTTCACGGCCATCTTGGAAACGCTTATACCACTCGTAAACTCTTGTTTTACTCATAACAGACTCACCATAGGCCTTTGTTAACATTTCACACACTTTGTAACACTTTATTTCATTTTTTACGCAAAATTTGATACAAATTCTTTGATCCATTTCTTTTAACAAACGAAAATCGCCAAGCTCATAAAAACACGTCTAACCTTAGCGGCTGCCACAGACAAAGTAAGCAATGAATACAGCTGAAAATTTTATTGTACTTCAGGGGCATGTATACCAACATAATAAAAAAAAAATTTTGACAATTGGACTCTCCAAACCCGCGAAATTTTAAAATTCCCGTTATTTCCTGAACACACCTCGTATACATGAATGGATAATTATTTAATATTCTTAAAATCTGACAAACCATCATAACTTAACATGGGTAATGAGTCAAACAAGCATTCATTTATATTTGTGGCTTCAAATTTCCCCCAATAACCTCCTAAAATCTGGCCATAAGACTGAATCGTCCTGTGTTTTGACAAGTTAGCAGTTACCTGTTGAATGTTTGCTAGTTGCTGTGGTATAAAAATGCCTTGTGCTCTTTCTATGTATTTTGATATTCTCTGCAAGTTAAATGTCATCCATAATTACTTATGTTGATGGAGTTTGTCTGTCTTTGCTTTTCTTGTTGTGTTAAACATATGCCAACTGGATACTTATCTTCATGAAGTTTTTGCGCAGTCTGTCTTCTGTATAACCATCAAATGTAAAACTAGAATGTACTGTGACATGACGCCTGCAAGCCAAAATAGCATAGCCAGAGTAGGCATTCATTGCTAGGCAATGGCTCAGTAAAAAGGTTCCCCCAGCACTGAATAAACAAGCAACAGTCAAGGTATTGTTGAGCTATAATGATGGAAACTGTGTTTTCTATTGGATTTACCTCAAGGCTGTATAACAAGGATCACAGGCCAGCTGAATAATAATTGAGTCTCTTGAGATGGCAGTGAGTACAGTTTAAAACTTTATGTGTGCTGTAGTTAGAGTGAGACTTAAAAGCCTTTGCCAGGATGCGACTATTGAAGACTGAGAAGACTTAGTGTGTGTGTTGTTTTTAGTGTGGAAATCATCAGTAGTGTTGTAATTACTTATAGTACCATACCCTGTCTGTAGTCACACAGCCCCAAATACATGACAGTATATTAATATAGCTAGTTTCATGAAACCAGTCTTGTAATTTTCTTTGTTTATATAGTTGGTGGTACCAATATTGTACTTGGCATCCCTCACCCATAGATCATCTTTTGGTGATCTTGCGGAAGATGTTTTTGCTTTCACAAGAGAAAGGTTCTTCGTTGGTGAGACTGTTGAGGTTAACACCAAAGAAGATACTTGGTATGTTCAGTTTTGTTGTAAATATTTTTCATACCATTGCTTTACTGTGTTTGCCTGATTATGATGCCACATGTAATATATTACAGGTGTGAGAGTCATGTTCTGCGAGTTATTCCTCCTACAGAGAAGGAAATTGCCAAGCATCTCTCCAGAAATAGGTAATAACTTTGCTATAATGATGATCTTGCTGAAACAATAGTGTTATTAAAGTACAGAGATATCCTATAACATCAAAATTAATAATAATAACAATGACATACTTTAAGAGTATTATTGACAAAATGCACAGTGCATTGGATTCCTTAAAAGTGTGTTGCCTGAAGATGGCCCTGTGCTGCTAAAATGTGTAGCACATAAACACAGGATGTATATATAGTTTTATGACATTTTAACGAACATTTTAATGAAATAAATGTTGACTAGTGTCATCTAAATCTATATTGATATTGTTGCATTGTGGATGGAAAATTACAAGTGATACTTCAGTGCAACAAGATGCTGAAATATGTTTGAGTATGCATCCTGTTGTGTATCACTCTATCAGAATATTGCATAATACTTCCCTCCTAACAGAAACATAGGCTTTCTTGAAGTCTACAGATAGCTGATCTACTGTCTCATTGTACCCCCATGTTTTCTCTACTATCTGACGAATGTAAAAGATCTGATCTGTAGTTGATCTGTTTTGTAGAAACCCACACTGATGATCCCCAATAATTTCATGTATATATGGACTTAACCTTGAGAGAAGAATATTGGTTAAAAATTGATATGAAGTTGAAAGCAGTAATATCCCACAATAATTACTAGAGTCAGTTTTATCACTCTTCTGAACTAGTACAGTAATGGAGTCCTTCCAGTGATCAGGCGAGTCTACTTATTCCAAATAGAAGTAATTAGCTTATATTTCACCTCTTGCTTGAATCAGTTCTGCCGGAATCTGACCACTGCCTGGCGATTTATACCTTTTCAGCTTTGCAATAACAATTTCAACCTCAAAAGGACTAGGATCAGGCACTAACAGCTCAGCTGTATGTATTTTCTATCTGCCTAACATCACTGACACTATATACATTCAGTAACTGAGAGAAGTAGTTCCTCCACCTATTGAAAATGTGGAAATCTGCAAGCAGATCACCATTCTCATTCTTCAGTAAGTTACTTCTAGGTTGGTAACCCCTCTTAAAGTCATTTATTCCTCCATACAAGTCTCTAATGTTCTTGTTCTTACTGTTCATTGCAAACTCGTCAGTTTTGTCTTTCATATAATCCCTCTTTCTATTCCTGAAATGCCTGCTGGTTTCACGTCTTATACTGTTCAGATTATCCCCATTTATTTGGCTTGGAACCTGTAACTACTGCAGTTTGGCTTGTTCCCTTTTGATCTAATAAATTTGAGCATCCTTCATCGAACTACTGCCTATGCAACTTCAGTTCATAATAACCTAGACTCTCTCTAGCTGAAATTTTGATATTGTCTGTAATAGTTTCCCAAGCTGTGTTAATATCCACATGAGTGTCTCGAGTTTTCCAAAGCTGTGGGCCTATTTGAGATGTCTACATGATACTGCTCTTTACCGTCTCCCTTGTTTAATTTCTTGAGATCGAACCTCTCCATATGAACTCTGTGCATTGTTTACTCCATGTATGAGATACAGAATAATAAACAAATGTTAAAACAGTAATATTGGTTTATTTATTTTGAGGTTGTTGGATGAGGGCCATGTAATAATACCACTTATTAAAGCACAGGGGATGGACAGAAATATGGAAACACCTCATGAAATGCGTGCCTGAATTGAAGTGTTTATTTTAGTGACGCTGTTGTATTTGCCCAATACCACTACCTGTACAACCTCTNCCTGAATTGAAGTGTTTATTTTAGTGACGTTTGTAGGTGACGCTGTTGTATTTGCCCAATACCACTACCTGTACAACCTCCGCAAGCTTCATTGGTTGTCAAGACAGTGTTCTGTGCAGTTTTTAGTGCATCATGTCAGAGCTAACAGAATTTGAACGCGGGCAAATTGTTGAGGCCCATATGATGGGTGCTTCCATAAGCAAGGTAGCCGATGTTTTTGGTGTTTCACGAGGCACAATATCCAAGATTATGACCGCATACAGGAGGACTGGAAATACCACATCCAATAAACACCTGCGTTGAGTGATCGAGACAGACGAACATTGCATAGGATTGTGACAAAAAATGAGAATTTGTTCGGATAAGCCCACCTTCACGCTGTTTCCGACTTCTGGCTGAGTTTATGTATGGAGAACAACATCCCAAGCTTACGATCCATATTGTATGCTGCCAAGAGTGAAACATGGCAGGGGTTCGAGCATGGTATGGGCAGTCATATCGTGGTATTCTGTAGGACCCATCATTACCCTGCAAGGTCACGTCACTACCAATAACTGTGTGACCATTTTGGGCGACCAGGTCCAGCCCATGGTGCAAACTTTGTTCCCCAATGGTGATGACATTTACCAAGACGACTATGCCCATGTTCACACAGCTCACATCGTGCAGGACTGGTTTTCTGAGCACAAAGATGAAGTGTCACATCTGCTATGGCCCCTACAATCGCCAGATATCAATATTATTGAGCCTTTGTGGTCTGTTTTGGAGAGCAATCTGCGTGCACGCTATCCACCTCCATCGATAACAGAACTTGCCAATGTTTTGCAAGACGAATGGTACAAGATTCCCTTGCAAATCATACAGGACCTCTAGTTATCCATTCCAAGGAGACTGCAAGCAGTTCTGCAAGCCAGAGTTCGTCCTACACCATATTAGTCATGGTAAAGTGTTTTTTGTTGGGTGTTTCCATATTTTTGTACATCTGGTATACTCAGCTATGTCCCTTATTTCATTTTTAGATACATGGATATTCTTTCCATTGTATTCAGGTGGAATTTGTGTTCTTTTCTTCTTCATGTGGGAGGGTTGAGGGCTAGACAGGTTTGGCTGCATACATTTGTGGCCATATACTGACTGCTCTGCATAAGAGGTCATATCTAGATATTGTGAATGAGAATTTAAACAATTTTATGATATTTGAAAGACTTTGTGTACTGCATGTTAAATTTTATGGCAATGTTTAAAGCTCTTGAACCATCTTGTAGGTCTGTACTAAGAACTTAGTAATATATACTATAAAGAAAGTAATTGCAAGTAGCAGTTACTTCAAAGATTTTATTTTAGAGTATGTCCACTATAGTCCAGGATTTAATTATAGGGTTGCATTGAAAAACAACTGAAATTTTTGCTTGAACATTAGATTTTCCTTTGTAACTTCATTGTCTAACATGTTTTTGAGAATTCTTAAATCTCTTGCACTATTAAANCCCGGTCAAAGTTTGACACTTCTCTGGCCATTATCTCCGTAACCGTTCAACTTTGGACATAGGTGTTTTGGGTTATATCGGCATACTTTAACATAAGGAACACCCTCCCGAAGTTTGGCACATTCCTCCTGGGACACCCTGTATATTGCATGGCTCTGAATTTTTGTTTTAGTTTTCATTTTGCCTTTCAGCCTGGACAGTTCCATCAGTATAGTGACTAGGCTGAATGTTCAGCTGTTTTTAACCTGTTTGAAACCATATGTTGTAGCAACTATATTTCTGTCAAGGCAACAACTGAAGTACAGTTTATAAGAACAACCATATGATGTACAAACTTTGGCACCATTTTAATATACTTTTCTTAATTAAGGAGCAAAGTAGGCTGACTTCACTGTAATGTGTATGTACATTCCCTTTTACTTTCGAACCAGTTTGGTGTTTATGAAATTTGGTATCAGTACCATTGCATTGAGATCAGCCTTTTAATTTCCCATTATCTGTAATAGTCATGTGAAGTGAAACTGACAATGGCGCCACTTAAAGAATTCTGAGATGTTGTATAGTAATAGGTTTTAAAAAAATGCAACTTTAGTTCTAGTTATTTGTAGAATGTAAAACAGCAAAATAGTAGCTGCATTAAATCCACATTTGATGTTAATAACTAATGAATCCTATGGATCTAGGCATGTTAAACTTGTTATGGAGATAGATCCTAAACATTCTTATAAACCTTGCATGAAATTTTGTTTATAGATCAGCGATTAACAATATGGCAGTGGAGCAGCTCTTTGAAGTTAAGTTATGTATGTTACAGTTTTATGATTTTATGATTTATATGTTTAGAAGAGTAAAATTTTGGGTCATGTTTGCTCCAGTTTCCCCTCTGTTAGCCCAGATAACTGGTCACTGGCTGTAGTTATCATTTCTAACATTGAAACCATCACTAAGTGATCAGAAAATACACATCTTAAGACTGTGTTGCTGAAGAGGAGGAGTCTCAGCATGCATATGCAACTACATGTATAGTTATAATGTCCTTTTATTGAATTCTATTCTTATAAGTGTGGTATCATTTCCAGTGAAGTCTCATGCAGAGATTGTGAGATGCCATCATTTCCACATGCCTCGCTTTATAGTTATAAAGTCAAAAAGCTAGATAATTCAAAGGAAGATGTTGTGTTAACTGTCAAGGCCAGTCAGTTAAGGCGGGCCAAGGGTGTGTACACCAGAGAGAAGAATCGCATGCTGTTGAAACACTTCTCAGAACAGAAGCAGAGAGTGTGGGTAATTAAGGTCAGTTGAAACATTTGTTTTTAGTGTGAAAGATTGTTCTGTTAAAGCATATAGGGTAAGCAAAAGACAAATTTACCTTACATTACATTTAAACCTGAGTGTCATATAGCTATAAGGGAAAGCTCAGGTAAGGTAACACCAGAAGAGTAATAAAAGTGTATGAGGTGATCAGCAAGGGGGGAAAGGGGAATTATTACCTGCCTATGTTAAGTTTTTAGAAGGTGAGACTAAGTGCACAGAGTGCTGCTAGTGCCAAAGCTAGGCTTCAGGGAGGGGAAAAGAATTTATTGTTGATGGCACAGCATGAAGTGACAGAATGTGATGATTGTAGTGTGTAGCTGTATATTTGATATCAAAATATGATTGGATTAAAAAAAGATAAAGTTATTCCTCTACTTAACTAATTAAGTACTATGCCGTGAAGGCATAAGGGGGTGTGGATGTGTAGATCCACATATTCTTAACCTTGGCATTAGTTGGAGGTGAGTGTTCAGCTTCATGCTCTGGGCGCCTTATGTCTGGGGGAAGAGCTCCCATTACCCATCAGATAGGAGGCTGATTGGGCCCCACAACTGGTCTGGATGATGTGGAGAGGAGAAAAATCTTGCCCCTACCAAGAATTGAACTCTGACCCCTTGGCCATCCTGCTCATAGCCAGCTGCTATGCAGACTGCTATCCCAAAGCCAAGGAGGATGAGATGGGCAGGTTATGTGGCACAAATGGGTGAGAGGGATATATGTATCTAGGTTATTGATGGGAAAGCCAGATGGAAAGAGACCACTTGGAAGACCAAGGCATAGGTAGGTGGAAAATATTAAAATGGGTCTTAAAGAGAAAGGATGGAATGGTATGAATTGGATTAATCTGGCTCAGGATATGGACCATTGGGGGGCTCTTGTGAAGATGGTAATGAACCTTCCTTCTGGTTCCATAAAATGCTGGCAAGTTCTTGAGCAGCTGCACAATTGGTGGCTTCTCAAGAAGGCCCAGCTCCATGAGTGATTACATATGATAACTGAAATTCATACATAAGGACACCATAAAACTAAAAATACCAGTTTCTTTAAAGATAAAGTAATTTAATTTTCTTCTGTACTTGGAGCATCATATCCTGTGCCGTTATCTGCCTCTTAGTTGGAAATGGGCAAATCATTAACATAACTGCAATTTTTACAATATTCCTTGCCAGACTTGATTATAGTTCATTCCTTTCTTCTAAGATGATCATGTGTGCAGTTATCAGTTTCTGTACTCTTCTCATGCAGTGCATTTTTCCAATATATTTTGCCTGTGTTTCTAGTCGCATCATGTCTTGTATTGTAGCACCACTTTAAACATGTGTATGAAGTATCTGGATGACGGACGTATACAATATGAAGCAGTTCATTTTTATTTCTGCCATACAACTTACATAATTCTTCTCCAACCATTCCAGAATGTCATGTTTTCAGAGTGAAGTAGCCAAAGGTTTACTAGTTTGAATGGAATCGTAAGGAGCATGGTCTAACACAGTTAGGCAGCTTGTATGTGACTGACTAGAAGCATTTTCTGAACCCATGTGCAATAGTTTTTGAAGTGCATTTCATCATGGTGCTCATCATTCTTTGTCATTGATTTAAGAATCAGATGAACTACAGGAACAAACTCTTTTGATAGCTGGCATGTGCAGTTGTCCAGTGCTGACCAGCATTCTCATTTGCAATAACACCATCTGTCCTATGAACTTGTGAACACTCACAGACTGTGTTTTGGTTGAATCCTTGTGTTATCTAAGACCATAACAGGTTTTTTGTTTACACTTAATTCATGATCTTTTTTTTCCTCCCAAATATTCGGCCTTCCATGATACAATTTTCATTAAGAATGCTCTTATATTTAAATCTGTTAAACCAATATCCAATGATTTGTGTATTTTTTTTTTCTTTTTTCTTTTTCAAATGTATCTACATATTGCTTAGGATTGTAAAATGTTGTTAGTATCCTTGTAACTTTGTAGGTTTGTTTGTTAAGTTGTACTCCTTGATAAATCAATCAATATAGTTCATAGTATGCTTGTAACTATGTAGATTTATTTTAACTTATATTACTGAATGACGTGTCCAAATGTTACTATGTAGCAAAATGGATGAAAATAAAATACAATACAATACCAATATCCTTCAACAGTCTTGTCAGAAACTATTTGTCTTGAGGAAAATGAATTCTTTTTACACCACTGATAGAGTTTTAATGCAGAACTTTTGTTAACTATGTAAAATTGGTTTGTGGTGTAATTACATGTAAACTGAAGTCATCAGCTTGATTCCCTTAGAACTCAGTTTTTACCAGGTGACTATGGTTTCACTGTGCTAATGTTCGGCATGATAGCAGCTTTTGTGATGCTGCATAGTCCAGCCTCTAATTTTTCAGTAACTGCAGTGTCACATCTGTTGAATTTTCAAGAGAGTTTCAAATTTTGACTTGACTTTTCTTGACCAAAAAAATTGTGTAACTTTTTAAATAATGTTTTGATCTTCGCTTTGAAGACTGTCATAAATATTGCACTAAGGGAAATCTATAATGCACACCAAGATAAATTATTGTACACTGTACAGTCAGATGTGTAAGGCATTCACCATGGATACCTGTTACTTCCCACACTATGAGACATTATCTTGGTTCACATTCTGTATTTAAAGTTAATGTAGCCAAGTAGTGTTACCAGATATGATCCAAGTCATGTAGATCTGCACTCAGTCTTAGATTTTCTGAGTGATAACAAAGGTTTTTTGTTATAGAGTTATTATGGTATTACTATGAAAATTCAAATCTGAGGCAGAATTTTAAATTTTTTTAAGGTATTAATGCTGGTAGTACAATTCATATGTCAGGAAGCTTTGCTTATTTTTAGAATAAGGTCTGGCACAAATATTTTGGCATAATAAATTAAGTTGAAAATGAATTCCAGTTTGGGTGTTAAACCTAACAAGAAATCTATTCATGCGAATATAATATCTATGTAATTAGTATTGACGTTGTGAATGACACTTTTCATTATTTGCATGTATATTAACAAGAATATGTGTATACCTTGATATATATTTTGTCTTGATGGAAGATATTGTCCTTTAATAGTTACATTAAATTTTCTTGTTTTGAATTCACAGGAAAAAATTCTTCAGAAATACAAGATTTCAGAGATAAGCTTTGGCCATATTTTTTGTGGAGATATGCCAGAATTTGAAATATCTAAGAAGATTGTGAAAATGGCTGTCACTTCACCTAAAGCAGAAAGTAAAAGTCAGCCAAAAGTAATGAAGGAAAAGAGACAAGAAACAATTCACAAGTATTTTAAATCACCTGGAAAAGGAGAAACAGCACCAAAAAAGAGTTTATCATCAGATGAATCTAAGACTGCTGGCAAGGAGGTAATGCCAGAAGCAAAAGGTGACAGATCTTTAAAGAAGCAAGTAGGCTTACCTTCAGGGAAACAAGATTCGAAGAAGATATTATTGAGTAAGAAAGATGTCTCTTCAAAGAAGAACTTGGAAGTTGGAAAATATGAAAATTCTGGTAAAAAAGTGTCTCCACTTCAAGAAAAGCAAGAAAAATCTCCAAAGAAAAGGTTTTCATCAGGAACAAGGTTAAATACACAGAAACCTTCGCCTACAAAGAAAACACCTAAGAAATTCAATCCAGATTTTGGTGCTAAGTCAGCACAAAAGCAGCAGTTAGCAAAGAAAGTGAAAGACAAATACAAGGATGCAGGAAATGTGAAGAAAAGAGATGCAACAAAAAACCTTTTGGAGAAACATAAGATGAATAAGACAACTCTTTTAAAGGAGAAAATGAGCGATAGGTTTGTATTTATCAGAGCACTCTTTCAGTTTAAAATTCATTGTGACCTTTTGATTTTAATATTGCCAGTAAAGTTTTTTCTTTAATGGTTCATTAAGTTAAGCCATTCCCAAAACATTCAGTGATAATGTGGAATTTAGATAGAATTAATGCTCAAATAGTGGATGAAAATTTGTCCCTTGAACTTGATAGTAGTTATGAAGCTGATACTTCAATGAGTACAGTTCCACATTCAGTACTAATTATATTTTTGCCATGTGTATGTATAACAAATCTTGGACTATTTTTCCATATGAAATGTATGTGTGCAATGCAGTTAGAGAGGATTGTTCATGCACTAGCATCAAAATGATCAAAAAAATAGATTATAGTTTGGTTTTAATAATAATGAGGTATATATGCATACATGTTAGGCATCTGTATTTGTAGTTAATTGAATAAAGTTACCACTTAAGTAGGAAATCATTTTGTCAGTTCAGTGATGCATGCTCTTTTGAAAAGAAGTCTATGACATCATTATTAGATGTGGACATGTCGTCTTAAATTTGAAGTTAGAAAACTCTACTGCAGTTGATAATACACATACCGTCAGTGCTGCATTATGGCTGTTATTTTGAGAAACATTTGGATTGTAATATTAAAAGGAGTGTAATGTATCGTACATTACTGGGCAAAGTAAGTAATCAGTTATTAAAAACTTTGATTACTAATAAGTCTCAATATTGCATTGGTGTATATTAACTGTCTTCATATCTGTTAGTCACTGATTGATTTGATCTTGGCTAGAATATAGTGTTGCAGATCACCCAGCTTATATTTGAAACAAATACTAACCCTCACACCCTCATCCTTTGTGGTGGATAGTAAGATTTTAAATTCAAAGTGCGGGCAACAGTGAATATTTGCAGTTTTTTCATTGTAACCAGTGAAAGTGCAGGAGTGTGTAGGAGGTTTAATAGTTTTCTGTAATACGTAAACTATGTGTGAATCATATTGTCAAATTTGAAGGCAAAAAACAAGAAAAATTGATCCAAAGACATTGTATGCACTTTCCCACATGATTTGCCTTGACTGTGTTCCCGTTGGAAATGAAATTGATTGTTTAGTTACTGAATGCACATACCATTGCTTTCTTGGTGACCACTTATGCATTTTTATTTAGGGAGAGATGGGCTCCATAAAATACAGAAATTTAATCAGAATTGTTAGAGCTGTTTTCAATAAAATCGCCGTTTTGTGTTTTTGGGCCTCTGTTTTTTGAACTAGAATTTTCTGATCTGTGATGGATAAACTTGTAAATACCAAATATAAATAAAATTTGTCCAGCTGTTCATGCCGTAGCAAGGTATACATCCATACATACGTATGTACATACTGATAGATGGTGACATTCAAAAAACTGCTTTTTCATATATGGGGAGCCTCAAAATGTGTGAATCTGTCAAAGTCTCAAGACCAGATTTTTCCACTGTCACAGTATTTTCTCATATACTGTGCATATGAGAAAGTAAGAATGTCTTGCTTATTTTGACAGCAGTGAGTATTCTTGAAATACCAAGAATATGGGCAGTTCAGATCATTATATGGCACAAACCACTATATGTGATGGCTGTATAATCTAGTATTGAATTATATTCATGACAGAATCTCAGGCTGTTTGCACGTTGAATTTTCTCCTTTGGCATATAATTTCTTACACTCTTTACAATAACAACAATGTATGTCTCTCAATACTGGTAAAACACAAACATATAGGATCTCACTGATGTGGCTAACTCCCACACATATTGAGGTGGAAGAAGATGAAAGTTGTTATTGTATGTCTCTCCAGCCATGCTCGTGACGAGTATTATATTGCCAGTAATTGACTCACGAAGAACAGAAATTAGTGGCGAAGCCATGTCAAATGCTTGCGCATGTGAGTCCAGAAATTAGGGAAATCCACACATTGCATTGGAAATTGTAAAAAATACTACTATTAAAGCCAAGAGAATGTTGTTCTTCAAAATTATGGTGCACAAGACATGCTTTTTAAAACAAACTTTATATAGGGCATGTTTGTTATTTGTGCTTCTGCTGTAGCGCAAATGGTTTAAACTATGTGTTTCTCTTTGTACAGTGTTGCGAGCTTGATTATTTTATGGTAAACTAACCTAACCATACACTGTTCACTTTTAACATGTTTCAAATCAAACAATAGACATATTTTAATATAGATAGGCTTTAAAGAATTCTGACGATGGTGTATACTATACTTCTTTTGGATTGTTTTGGACTTCATCCACCATCTGGTATGTAAAAGACAAAAGACCACAATGTTTCGGAGACTGAATCTGTCTCCGTCCTCAGGTGGGTAGGGCAGGATGAACCTACTCAGTTGGGCCTGTTAGAAAGAGCTAGTCTCAATCACTCTCTCCGAAACGTTGTGGTCTTTTGTCTTTTACATACCAGACGATGGATGAAGTCCAAAAGAAGTATATTTCAATAGTTCATTCTATTTTCAGTGTTACTTGTGAATACTTATGAATCACACACTTATTTTAAAACAAAGCAGAACAGTTTGTTAGTGATTGGAGCATATTTTGAGTAAATGACTTTGCAACAATGTCTATGCAAGATGTTTATTTAAGTTTATTAAACTTTTTATTTTTGAGGTAGAAGTGATATTTGCATACTTATGCTTTTGTACAGTAATGTTCAAATCGATTTTTTCATTATAATTTTTATACCATTGGAGGTGTCTCCACTATTACACTTTCCTACCATGAACNGTCCTCAGGTGGGTAGGGCAGGATGAACCTACTCAGTTGGGCCTGTTAGAAAGAGCTAGTCTCAATCACTCTCTCCGAAACGTTGTGGTCTTTTGTCTTTTACATACCAGACGATGGATGAAGTCCAAAAGAAGTATATAATTAATTCTTATGTTCCTGAGAAACAGTGATAACTATTGCATCAGTAGATATAGATGTGAAATTTGAAGTGTTAGTGGAGTATGGGCACATGTACATTTTATATTTATCTTTCTTAAATTAAATGTTGGGAAATTTCAACCATAGTAATATTTCAAAGTTTTGAGAATCCATACTAGTAAAATTGTTATGCAAAGATAACTGAGCTGTGTAACTGTGAATTTGTAAGTTCTTTTGGCCTGGCTTTACAATTGTAAGACATTAAAGGTACAACTAGACAACCTACATTTTTCCAGAACATTAGTGAGTTCATTAAATTTGTATTTTGGCAGTGCATGTTTATATAATTGCACACAGAGCATTTCCAATGAAGTCAAAATATCTGTTGGTTTTTTTTTGTAGTGGTCAAGAAGTGTAAAATTTAATACACATTTGTGAAAAACACATTTAAGTGATATTTGCTGCATATGAGACACCTACGGCAGAAGGAACAGTTTCATCACTGGTAGATGTAAATAAAAAATTGAAATTAACTGTGGTATTGACATGGTTTTCTTCACTGAATTGTGTTTATAGGTTAACAGAAGTAGAGAGAAGAAAAAAGTTGAAGGAGGAGAGGAAAGAAAGGGCTCTTGAAGAGAAACGCAGGAAGGTAGAAGAAAAGTTGAAAGAGAGAGCGAAACTGAAAGAAGAGAAATTACGATTGGCAGAGTTCCTGAAACGATGGAATCGTCAACGGGAAGATTTGGAATGTGAAGACCTGAAGGTATTGTATATGTAGAAAAGAGCAATTGATGTACTTCTTATTGGGACAGATTGAATTCAGATGTCCAGCCTCTTCCAACAAATTTCTCTGCCCACATTTGTCAGACAGTTCCATTTTCCAGTATGTTATTTCCTGGCTTGTAAAGATGCATGTGATTTGGTATTCTAGTTCTGTTCATCACTTGCATTCACAGTTTCAAATTTAGGCATGTCTTATTGATTCCAGAGAGTATAACCATTTCTAATCTTAACTTCATAAGTTGTTTCCTGGCTTTAGACATTTCTTGGTAGATAGGCTTCTACTCAAGGCTGGAACTTGTATTGTGAATGTTTGCAGTATTTAAGGATGAAATACAAGCTCCTCTTGCATGACTCTTTCATATTTAATAAATTTGTTTATGCCTTTCATTATTTTGTTGTTGAAGATTATTTCGTTTTGGACATGTTGTTTGCTGTTGGAAGATGAAGATCATTTAATATACTTTGATTGGTTAACCCAGTGAAACATGAAATACATCAAAATAATATTCAGAATTTAATTTCCACCATGCAGAATACTGTATCTCCATTACAAAGATTACTCAGCTAATGCTGGNATGAAATACAAGCTCCTCTTGCATGACTCTTTCATATTTAATAAATTTGTTTATGCCTTTCATTATTTTGTTGTTGAAGATTATTTCGTTTTGGAAATGTTGTTTGCTGTTGGAAGATGAAGATCATTTAATATACTTTGATTGGTTAACCCCGTGAAGCGTGAAATATATCAAAATAATATTCAGAATTTAGTTTCCACCATGCAGAATACTGTGTCTCCATTACAAAGATTACTCAGCTAATGCTGTTTGGTAAAGTAATTGCTCTTTATTCTGAGAATTGTTCATAACACATAAATACACTTTGTTTGCAGAATGGAGGGCTGTTTGGTGGTCAAGCTGGTGGATTGTAACCACTGTACTTCAGAGATGTCAAAAGTTTAATTTTTGTTGCAGGAATTACCAGTTCCAACAAAAGTTGATTGTGCTATTCCAAATGAATTCTTTGGGGATTTTGTTATGGTGTTGGAGTTTTTACACTCTTTTAGTGATATTTGGTCCTCCAAAAGTTTCTTTCCAACCGGTGTTACCTTTGATATTGTGGAAAGAGCGCTGTCTGTGAATGAATTGGCAGGTAAGTTAACTGAGGTACAGATTTATATAAATAAGAAAACAAGTCACATCAGTATAATGTGGTACCCATTTGAATAGTTTTAAATTTATGTTTTAATAATTGTTTGTTTATCCATCAGAACACAACAACTCAAAATCTCGTTCACATTAACTGTGTATAACAAGTTTATTATTTCAGTGATATCTTGCTACATGTTTTGGCTTATGAAAAACCATCATCAGACATCTGTGTCGATGTACGCTTGCTCTGCTGTGCACCTGACCGTCAGCCGATNCCTTTGATATTGTGGAAAGAGCGCTGTCTGTGAATGAATTGGCAGGTAAGTTAACTGAGGTACAGATTTATATAAATAAGAAAACAAGTCACATCAGTATAATGTGGTACCCATTTGAATAGTTTTAAATTTATGTTTTAATAATTGTTTGTTTATCCATCAGAACACAACAACTCAAAATCTCGTTCACATTAACTGTGTATAACAAGTTTATTATTTCAGTGATATCTTGCTACATGTTTTGGCTTATGAAAAACCATTATCAGGCATCTGTGTCGATGTACGCTTGCTGTNTTAATATTTGTTCTGACATTCTCGCGACGGCACACCAAAACACACTCAGACAATAATAGACATCACTCAGAGACTGCTATAGATCAACAACACAGCTGTGAAATGCTGATATGCCAATGTCATCAAAGCATACTGAGGTTTCTGTCCACTGCTGCCATTGGCAAGCACATGGTTTTGAGTTTGTGAACTTTATTGTCAGACCTTGTACATCTCATATATGATTATTTTGTAATTGAAATTGATTGCTATATGGTAGACCACTGTTGGTTGCTGAATGCCGAACAACAATGAAATCTGTAATCAGTAAATCCAGTTTACAGAAAATTGACATTTTGTGTTGGGCTCCTAGTGCACATAATGTTATTTTCCTGAAGATATTGCCTATGCAGCTTTATTTGGGGATATGTTCTACATAAATTAATGAAATTTGATCTGACCTCTTGGACCTATTTTGTGTTTTGGAGCCGATCTTGAGGGCAACCATTTTTGGAGCTGGTATGTTTGAATTTACTGGGCATCAACCTAGCATGAATAAACTCTTGAAAAAATACATCAACCTTTCAGGGACTGGTGAGGTGCTCATGCAGACTTACAGCCAGACAGCATAGCAAAAACCTCTTCTTCATAATGGGGAAGGCTGAAAACATGTACAGCCATTGAATTCTCAGTGTAAATTTTTTTATACTCTGCTATGTATATGAGAAAGTAAAAAATTAATGTAAAGACATCGCACATAATTTTGCATATGCAGTTGACCTTTACTACCTTAGAAACAGAATTGATTGTGCACAAAATATTGTAGGTTGCTGGGTGCCAAACAGCAATGTAATCCAGATCTGAAAGTTTGTGGCGATGTATTAATACATATACTGTGTTTCTTTGACATCCATCATCTTTTTATTTAAGACAACAACGGTTTGGAGACTGGATTCTGTCTCTGTCTGCTGGTGGAACCTACTCAGTTTAGCCCAATCAATAGAGCTAGTCCCTATCTCTGGACACCAGCAATAACGTAAGATAGGGTATATAAACCAAGCACAACACAAACCATGTGCAAGGGTTAAGACAAATGTTAAAAGCGTTAAAAAAAAATTCCAGGCACATGAGGCTTAGCACCTATGTCCATGCACTGTTTCACAGATTATTTTGTTAGAATCAGAGCACTATCAGAATAAAAATCATCACTACAGAGACAAATTTTCTGTATGATGTTGAAATAAAAAACACACTTTTCACACTTAATCTACACTGGATGGAGCTGTAGTTTTCTGACTTCTGCTGCGATAATGGGAATCCAGATGGGAGAGGTGTCCAAGTTGAGTTTGACTGATCGGATGATCTGCCAGAGACATGGGCTGATTCTTGTATGTAGTGTTTGGTACATTCTGCAAGAACTTCACTTTTTTTTTTCAGCATATTTTATGGCCTTCATCACGTGTTGAGCCAATTTTGATTTTTGAAACAGACCTTGGGTCAGGTTATATTTGTGCTCCTTAATGCGTAAGGTCAGCTTGTTTTTTCAATGTAACATTCCAGTTACAATATCAGACCAGGCTTCTTATTTTAATACTGTTTAATTAAAAGCAGTTAAAATAAATTTGTGTTTTCTGTATACTAAATCAGGAACGTGAATTGGCATGCATGCTAATTTTCCTTTTCTTTTGTTTGTAGGTCCACTTAGTGACATAATTCAGTTCCTTCTGACAGCACTGTTTAGTATGCAGGAGGAAGAAGATGATGAAATATTGGAAACAGATAGTCAGACATCAGGTATGTAGTAAACATAATGAAGATATCTTGTTTAAAGAATGTCTAAATAATATAAATTGGTATTGAATGTAAAGTGGTATCTTGCATAGCTGGAAATAACTTATTGGCACTGTAGCATCTGAATATTTTATTGTGTGATTTCTACACATCAAGAACACAAGTATCAGTCTTACAATTCTAAACATAGATGTCACAGTGTATATTATGATGTTTTAGTTAGTCTAGCTGATGAAGTTGGTGACGTAACATCGGAAGCCATAAAATATGCAACAGCGGCAGCAAGTTGGTGTCAATTGTACCAGGGTGTTCCTCTTAGTAAAGTGACACTAGACTCAGTTACACTGACTGAAGTTTTAAGGCTGCATCTTCTGTCATCTGGTGGTCGGTCTGGAGAAATGAGTTCCAAATGGAGGTAGGCAGAATGTGTCTTCATTTCATTTTAAATTTTGAGAAGGTTAAAATTACTGCCATGTTTTTTATCAATTTTGTTGCCTTAGTACTAAAGTAATGGAAGGTTTGTTACATTCATATCATCGGTTCTGTGCTGTGGTTGTTGATGTTGAGTTACTTAATTTTCTGAGGTTGTATCAATATTCTGGTGGCATCCCAGCAGCCTTTTTTTGGGGAGCAAATCTGCATTATGGCTGCTACTGTTATTTAAACTTCAGAATCAAACTTTACTCAAATAATATTAAAAAGAGAGTCCAGAATTTTTAATTATGTTTCTCAGCCACCTACTTTATTCTGTAGAAAAGTGTATAGTGGCCATATTCGGTTCTGAATTGTTTTATTACAGATGTTACAAAACATGTACAAGGTTGGGCAAATAAGTTTCGAGACTAATTTTTTAAAAAATTATTTTAAGAGCTGCAGATATTAGCAACCTAGAATTTTTCAAAGCAGTCTCCTTCCAGTTCTTTACGATGTTCCAATACTTTAGCCGTTTTTCAAACAGCGTTTAAAATCCTGAACAGGAGTATCTGTCAGAATTTTTTTTCACAGATGATTTAATGTCTGCAATGTCCGAGAAATGCTTTCCTTTAAACACACACTTTGAGTTTTGGAAACAGCCAGATTAGGAGAGTATGGTGGATGATCCATGGCAGAGATGCCTTTTCCTGCTAAAAACTGTGACACTCAAAATGAGGGGTGTGGGGGTGCGTTGTGGTGGTGAAGAATCAATTATTAGTCTCTCTACAACTCTCATTGCTTGTGCCTTATGGCATCAGTAAGCCTTTTCAACACCTCTGCATAGAATGTCTGATTAACAGTGGTTATTTTGTATACAAATTCAAATTGGATGATACCCTTGATGTTGAAAAAGCAGATCAACAGTGTTTTGATCCTGAACTTTGACATCCGTGACTTTTTTGGCCAGGGGATTCGCATTAACTGTTTTTAACATCTCTATTGTTTCACTTGGTGATTTCTGCAGTCTAAAACAAAAATTCACGTTCACCCCCTGCTCCAATTTCACGTGACACAGTGACCTAATGTGCTCCTGTTCAGTGAATACTGAATATGTCTGAGATAGGGATAGGGAGGAAGAGTGGCTCAGGAAAACACTCAACCATTCGAAGCAGAGAGTAGGGATGGAATTGGCAGAAAAGAAACATTTGAGATTGATATGTTGTGGTGAAGGGGAAGAGAATGTAATGTCAAGAGATGTCACAGAGTATTAGAAGTTTAATCTGGACACTTTTCAGTTTTTAATATCACTACTGAACATAGTTGCTCTCAGTGCTTGAAAATGAAATTGTAAAGGCAGCTGAAGGGTTTAAATGAAAGTCACGGTGGTTTGTTTCAAGTACATTTTAACTTTTTCAGTTAAACTTAAATTTCCTTCATTGTAAATTTCTCACATATTGTAGAATTTCTTTGGTCCACAAAGGAATTTATTTCATTCTCCTGGAAAATTGATATCACTAGACAGATTGTTTCACTTTGTTGTGTCCCTTTCATACTTGTGGGTGGGACAGAATCCGATTTGATCTTGTTTCAGATATCAGCAGCGAGGTGGTTATACAAGTTTGGATGATCCAGGTTTGCTTCTTCGAATTCAGCAGCCCCATATACTTAGATCGCTTAGTGTTATGAATGTATGCGATCTACCTTTAGGTGAGTCACACAGTTTTGTCATTATAAACTTAACATATGATTTATGTATTATAATGTGAAATTTAGGTTCTTACAGCAGTAGCAAGAGTGTGATCTTTTTGGATATGAGGCCATGTTCCTAGTAGCTGGATACCAGCATTTAGGGGGTACCTTGAGGATAGAGGCAACAGATTTTTCCAAAACGTTGGTACCTGTCTACAAAACTACGTGGTGTCACATCCTGCAAGACCAATATTTGGATTTTTCATAGCATTTCATTGTATGTAGTGGTTTTGTTCTTGTTTTGCAGGAGATAAGTTGCAGATTGTGACCTGTCTTATTAATCAGATCTTGACATATGCTACTGTGAGGGATGTAATTGATGAAAGAGGGGACAAAGTTAAGCAACTGCGTGCTGAAATAAGAGCACACCAAATAGCAGAACTGAAGAAAGAAAGGGAGGCAGCTGCATTGAGGTACATCACCACTACTGTGTTAACTTTAGGTGTACACACACATACATGGACACATTGAAGACAGTGGCTACTGTCGGTGTGTATAGTTGGTATACATGAAATGGGAAAAACCAACATGTTATACCTTAATACCTGACATGTCATTCTTGTGACCTTAATCAGTGATCAGTTTATTGCAAGAACAGATATGTTTTATTGCACATAAATGTTTCCTTTGGGTAGAATGGCTGGAGTTGTAAAGTGATCCCTTGTCAGCAGCTACTGTGAAGGTTAAGAATGCAGAGTTCTTTGTCTTCAGGTCTCAAGGTTTCCTTATTCTGTGATGTTGAGTGCGGTTAGCTTAATCTTTTAAGGATACGTAAATGAATGCACTTATGTGTCAGAAATTCAAGACCACTGTTCCAGGTTTGGAGAGATAAAATAATTGAGGAAATTACAGAATGATCTGGTAGAGGGAAATTTTTATTGGATGATATCCAGGGGAGATGGCAAGTTAGGAAGCCTTGTTGTGTATGAGAGGATCAGGGTTACGGGCTGTCAGTATGTCAGCTGGTTTGAACAGGCACAGGATAGGTTTCACTGATGGGATTTTGTCAGCATGCTGATGAACATTTATTTGGGTTTCACCAAAACAGGATATACTTTTACCTGTTGAATAACTAACAGTTGCTGAAAGAAAATTGTGTACTGTGAAGTTAGTTGGTTGTAATTGTGTTTATATACTTACTTGGGCAGAGAAACATTACTGTGTGTAATTCAGATTTTTTTTTCAATCAGGTTGAAGGAACGGAAGGAGGCTAAACTGAAGCTTAAAGAAGATGCTGCAACGGGAACAGCATCAACAGGTACGTCTATGACCGATTTACCAATAGAAGAGGAAGAAGAGGACAAAGAAGTTCGGCAGCAGAAGCTGGATCGAGAATCATCTCGTCGGAAACAGGAAATACAGAAGAAATCTCGTGAATTGTACCAAGCAGTATTTGGACACCAGGTTTTGCCTATAGGAACTGACCGTGCCCATCGACGTTTCTGGGTGTTTTCTTCTCTTCCAGGGCTTTTTGTTGAGCATGATGAACACTGGGCAGGATCATGTTTGGCAGAACCTACACCGTATAATCCTACTTTAGCTCGTTCAGATGATACTCTGACATACATACAGAAGTTATTTGAAGAAGAGTGGAATGGAGGGAGTGGTAGTGACAAGGAGAATGAAGCAGGTGATGAAGCTCGTCCAGTGGCTGCTTCTAGTAGCAACAAAAAATTATTGGTTGAAAAGAACACAAGTAGTGATTCTGGTGATGTGTCTCATATGAACAGTAGTAGGGGATTGAGTGAGAAAATAGTAAGGACAGGTGGTGAGTTGATTGATGATTGTGATAAAGTGGCCATGACAAAGCAACAGCCCTTAATTTGCACAGCGGATATCAACACTTGTTCAGTACATGGAAAATCAGATTCAGTTGACAGGATCAGATGGGCTTTCTTCAGTAAGGAAGAAGATATTAATTGTTTAATTGAAAGCCTTAACAGGCGTGGTATCCGAGAAAGTGAACTGCGACAGGCTTTGATACAGGAAAGAACTTACATAGTGCAGAAGATGGCAAACTGTCCAGTACACAAATTGGATCGAAGTCAAGTAAGTAGCACATTACTTACATTATTAGAATGAGACGTTCTGTGAGCACTCCTTTCAAGTCAGGCCAGTCCATAATATATAAAGAAATTCTAAAGGATGCTGATGAAGATGTATTACAATGTAATATTTTTGGGTTTCTGGGCTTTGTCTGTTGTCCAGTAACTTAAGAAAATAAAAGAGTGGTTCTGGAGCTGGGTCTCTGATGCCCTCATGTGAGAGATACCTGCTCAGTTGGATATGATAGAAAGTAACTAAAGCAAAGTTGTCCTGTGCTTAATTATTAAGTACCAGGCTTTGAAGATATGTGGGGGAGGGCAGGTATAGCTTAACCATTCTTGACCTTTGCACTAGATGGGGGAGAGTGTTTTTCTATTGTGTAGGAGCAGATCCAGCTCCCAGATCATCATGTTATATATGGCCACATTTAGTGACTAGACACAGTGTTTGGAACAGTAATCAGATTTAATGGGCTCCTGAAATTCACAGTAACTGTAGCACTGTTACTAATTCACACACACTATGATACGTTAGCGCACACACACAGTCTTCTCATTTTCTGTTATGTCCCCATCAGTCATTGCTTTGTAACGGCTGCCAACACCATAAATTCCTCAACTTCTGGGTTCCCATCCTAACAACCAGTCTATGGCTCCAAGTGTGTTCATCTTTTCTTCTCAACTCACTAGTTCAGAATTCAGACTTACTTTATGACTGGCAGTTTGTCTTGGTGACAAGCCCCTTGAAACTCATGACCGCACATTTTTTCAACTGAACACTTGTGGTCATAGTCCTTATGTAACTTGCTCTCAGACGAGAGGATGGGTCTTTTGTTCACAGTTGCTGATGGCTCTCACCACTGCAGTCATTCTCAGGTCCAAGTCCCATGGGTCTCATGATCACATTTTACTGTCTTATATTTGAGACTCCCCCAACATGGAGGGCCAGGTCCCTGTATTTATATCCTCCAGGAACTGGGTGACCCAATTGTACTCCCAGGTTCCATTTTCGTCACCTATGACTTGCAGTGTTACAGTGGAGGTATTCGACCTTTCCTCCACGCAGAATCCTTCAATTCACCCTTGGTTTCAGTTCTTGATGTATAGCCTCAGGGCGGACCCCACAGAAAACACCACTTCCAGCATCTCTTCTATTGTGTGTGCATATCCATTGTCAGTTGGACATGTTTACGGAGACATTGTCTAGCAACGACCGGCTATTTAGATTGCTGGAGCTCAGCAATGGATGTCTTATTCCTTTTCCACAATTCTGGCTTTGAGACATCATATCACAATATGTATAGAACATCAGATGATTGACACAGTCCTGAAAACTGGTGATAGTAGCTTAACATATAAGTTTGCCTCACGGAAGCACTATCCAGAAAACTCCCATTAGTATTATGTATTGGTGCTTTAACTTCATATGTTGCTAGTTAACATGTAGATTAAACTATGAGTAGTTTTGATTTAAATCCATGTAAATGCAATATTGGGTCATTCCATATGAAATCAACCAGTTATTATAGCTTTAGATCTTCATGTTGTGAGCTTTAGTGAAATATTTTATACCTGTAGACCTCCCAACTCTTAGCAAAAGTGTAAACATGTACATATTTTGGAGCAGTATTCTTGAGTTAATTTGAAAATGTGAAGTATACTCAGAATTTCAAATTCATTTATCTTTAATTTGCTGAATTTTGATTCATATTGCAGATGCAGTTCTGGTTGTGTTGTCATTTTAGAGATCTTGAAATTGACTTTAAAATGGACTGCATAAAGACCTTCTATGACTGTCATAGGTCTTCAAGGTCATTGAACTTATTCTTAACCTTGAATTCCAAAATAATCTGTGTGGTTAGTGGTTTCAATTACAGTCCCCCTCCCGGTTTCGCAGTGGGATCATAATTTACAAAGAAAACTAATTCATCTTGATTTGATTCTTGTCAGACATTTCTCCTTCCCCTGTGATCACTTTCACACTATAGAATTGGCTGTGTTGCCTCATTACCTATATGCACCAAATATTTATACAGTATTATGTAATATCTAGAATTTATCTTTCTGATGAAATATCAGTTTTGTTGGCCTGTCTGTTTCTTTCGTGTATGGTAGAATATTCAAGTATTAGTATGGATATCTGACTGTCAGGAGGAACAGAAATGTTTTAAATACAAGGATGTTAACTTCACTTTCTTACTTACACTGCAGCGTCAGTATAACAGGGATTATAAAATTTGTAAATATCATTATAGCAAGTTGTAATAATATCCAGAAATGTAAGATTTGAGGTTTACATGGCGGTGACTATGAAGAAAGCAGTCTTCTGGGATTTGGCACCGTGTATATGTGGTGTTAACCGACGTTTCGGAGGAACGTATCGCCTCCATCTTCAGGCGATATGTTCCTCCAAAACGTCGGTTAACACCACATATACACGGTGCCAAATCCCAGAAGACTGCTTTCTTCATATCCAGAAATGATTATGTAAACTTCTTACCCTTGCATATATTACTGGATGGCACCAGGATTTAAAAAAATAATGCACTTGTGATAGTATTTTTGTGTGTGTGTGTTCTCAATCAAATGGTGCAAAAGTGTGCATATTAGCTTTTCTGTATTTGGCTGTGTAACTATCATGTTCGTTGGAGGATACCTGTTGTGTCATTCCCCGTTGCAAATGTTATAGTGGTTTCTTCTTCCCCAAGAAGAGTTCTGAGGAAGCCAGGTCAGTGGAATTAATTTTCAAAAGTGTCTCTATCCATTTGTGTCCCTTTCTGGCTGTAATAATGAACAGAATGCCATATGCTACAGCCTCTTTAAACATTTATGTTTTGTTTGGCCTTACCAGTGACTACAAATTTGATTTTGTGATTTTCAGATGTTTGCACAACACCTGTCTGTAAGACCTTCTTTTAGATGACATGTCCAGGCCACAAAGTCAGGAGTTCCTACATGTAGCTCTTTTCCATTGTAATCCAAACTCGGCCACTGATGTTGGGCATTTTGATGTGTGTTTCTGTAAAATCATTTGACACAATACTACCTGTGGCATCTTCTTCCCCATTTCCACTACTTCCAGTAGACCATTTCTTATTTTCTCACCCCAACACCTGCACAGATTGATTGAGATGAGAAAAGAATGAAGACCTGTTTCATATGTGTCCACATATTTAAAAATATGAGATTATGTAGAACAAATGAAAAAGTAACGCATGATAGCATGCACACTGAATACTCCAGGGTCATATAATCAGGAATTGACTGCAGAATGAAAGAGTTGGTGGAAATCTAAATGTAATGTTTTGTCTCTAATTAGACTGTTGCTGCTTAAATTTAATCAATAGCTGACAATTTATACTTCATTATCTTTTCAGTGGCAGTCTCATTTACTAATAGCTGAACTGTATATATCTCAGTCTAACTTCATTAACTCCTAATATTTATACTGCAACATCCTGTTGTACTGTGTATTCTAACTCCATGCTGTTTTTGTGCAACTTCATTGATATGTTAATGTTCACACTTCAACATCTTCTCTTCTCATTACACAGTACTACATGTTTCAGCCTGACTGGCCATCATCAGATGTGTCTGGTGTATCTGTAATATGTAACGGGTTATATTAGTGTTTTATTTACAAAATCGATATTATATGTTATATTCTGTTGTTCTATCACCACAGTCGCCCAATAAAATACATAGGACAAACAGGCATAGCATTGTACACCAGAGACAAAGAACATATACAAGCAATTAGAAATGATAATAGTAACTTGGGATGCTCTAATCACATATTAAACACAGGACATAAATATGAAACTATAACAGATACAGGTACATTGTAAGGGCAAGTAAAAAGAAAACACTTAAACACACTGGAAAAATACCACATATACAAGATCAGCAAAATTAACTTGCAAATGAATGGCACAAACATTGACACATAACCCAATATTCAGAGCACTGCAGGAAGTGAACACCAGGCAGCAGCACAATGCCCTACGTCTATATAAAAACAGAATCACTCGTCCATGTGTGGAGACAGGTTCGAATACCTCCACCATAGCTGTGTGAGTTGTAGAAGGCGACGAAAAGGGAACCCAGTGCCTGGGAGTATAACTGGGCCACCCTGTTCCTGGGGGATGTAAATATGGGGACCTGGCCCACCATAGTGGGGGAGGCTCGAATTTGAGACAAAAATATGTCATGAGGCCCATGGGACTTGGACCTGAGAATGACTACGCTGACGAGGACCAGCAGCAGTTGTAAATGATAAGACCCATCCTCTCATCAGAGAGGATGTTACATAAGGACTATAACTGCAAGTGTTTAGTTTAAAAAAAAAATGTTGGTTGTGAGTCTCAAGGGGCTTGTCGCCAAGACAACTGATTGGTGGTAAACCACCAGACATAAGATAACTCTGACTGAAACACTCAGAACAGCTACACACAGCACAAAAGGAAGAAACCAACACATCAACAAAACATAAGTAGCATCAGAACTGCAGTGATGGAACAACAGAATGTAACATATAATATCGATCTTATAAATAAAACACTAATGTAACCCATTATATATTACAGATACACCAGACACGTGCATACAGATAGAGTAACAATGGCAGGATGATCTAAAAATAACCTAAAATAAAATATTTGGCAGCATTTCACATCAAAATGATAAGCAGAGCAGTGTGATAACAAAGCAGCAGGTTCCTCTAATCCTACATTTTTACGTCTGATGAGATCGCCAGTTAGGCCGAAACATGTATTATTAAATAACGAGGAGAGAAGATGTTGAGGTGTGAACATTAATATATTGATGAAGTTGCACAAGAACAGCAAGGAGTTAGAACACGAAGTTCATTAGCTCCATCTACATTCCATAGCTGACAAGTGATTCTTCCAGCTGTTCAAAATATTGTGGGATTCAGTAAGACGATTGCCATTCTCCTCCTTTACTCAGTCCTAGGTGGGTAACTCTTCTAAAGCTCATTAATGCCTGTATGCAGGTCTCTAATATTCTTGTTCCCGGTGTTTGTTTCTAGCTTATTATTTTTGTCCTTCAGATATTTGCTCCCCCCCTTCTTAAAAGTTTCACCAATTTCGTATTTTGTGTTCTTCAGATTGTCTTCATTAATTTGGCAGTCTTTCTGCTGCTTTTAATATATTTTGAGCACTCTTCAGGAAACCATAGTTCATGCAGTTTTAGTCATACTAAACTGACTTTCTTTGACTGAAGTTTTGAAATTTCTTATACTTCTCCAAGCCCTGTAGGTGTACACATTATAATCCAAGTTTTCCAAACTTGCAGAGCTTTTTGAGATTGTAACCTGGTACTGTTCTTTGAATTTCACATTGTTTGAATGTCTCCATATCAAACTTTCGTAGTGTTTATTTACTTATAGACAGGCCCACTCTAACTTTTGTATCAATCACATAGCAGTCAGTTACTCCGAATGATGAGACATTGCGTACAGGTATACTTGAATGCCATTTTCTATCTTAAGATATTGCTCATTTGACCATCCAAAGCTTAAGTGTGTTTACAAATGTTGCAATTGGGGTAACATTGTGCTCTTGATAACTAGATATTACATGGTGCGTTCAAATTCTAAGGTCTCCGATTTTTTTCTCCCACAATAATCATATAAAAAATTTGAAACTTCTGTCACTTTTCAATGTAATCTCCCTGCATCTGTACACATTTTTCACAACGTCGACACCATGATTCCATGGCCACTACGAATGCTTCTGTAGGAGTCTGTTTTGACCACTGGAAAATCACTGATGCAATAGCGGCACGACTGGTGAATGTGCGACCATGGAGAATGTCTTTCATCGTTGGGAAAAGCCAAAAATCGCTAGGAGCCAGGTCAGGTGAGTAGGGAGCATGCGAAACCACTTCATGGTTGTTTTCACGAAGAAACTGCTACGCCATGTACACCCATTGTCCTGGTGAAAGCACACATGCAGCCTTTTCCGGCCGTTTTTCTCACAGTGCTGGAAGGAGCTTGTTCTTCAAAACATCTTGGTAGGATGCACCTGTCACCATAGTGCCCTTTGGAACGCAATGCATAAGGGTTACGCCATCGCTGCCCCAAAACATGGCCACCATCATTTTTTCAGCACTGGCGCTTACCCGAAATTTTTTGGTGGCGATGAGTCTGTGTGCTTCCATTGAGCTGACTGGCGCTTTGTTTCAGGATTGAAAAACGGCATCCATGTCTCATCCATTGTCACAATTGATGAAGAGAAAGTCCCATTCATGCCTTCATCACATGTCAACTTCAGCTGGCAAATTGCCATGCGCGCAACCTTATCGTCGTCCACCAGCATTCGTGGCACCCACCTGGAGGACACTTTCCGCATTCGCAGGTCTTCATGCAGGATTGTGTGCACAGATCCCATGGAAATGCCAGCTTTGGAGGCGATGTTTTCCACACTCAATCGGCGATCCTCCAAAACAACTTTCTCAACTCGCTCGACCATGTTGTCAGACCAGCTGGTGCAAGGCCGAGATTGTTTTGGTTCGTTGTCACATGACGTTCGGCCTTCTTTGAACTGTCGCACCCACGAGTGCACATTTTTCACATTCATGACACCATCACCACATGTCTCACTCAGCTGGCGATGAATTTCAGTGGGTGTCGCACAACGCAAGTGGAGAAAACGAATGATTACTCGCTGTTGTAACGAAAACGTCACCATTTTAGGTATCAGAAACACTCCTCCCTCTCACTGCCACCACTAGAGTTCTGTGTGCCGTATAGTGCTGCCATCTCTGTCACGCATTCACAAAGAATGCACACACATTTAAACTAAACCGCATGTGTCTATCTGCTCCCAAGTCCTGAGAGAAAAATCAGAGACCTTAGAACTTGAACACCCCTCGTAATGTAGCAAAGTTTACTACTCTAACCACATTATTATTGCTGCAGTTAAAGCTTGATTTTACTCGTTTTGTTATATCAGCTGCTGTTTTTGTGTGGTATCAGTAAGATGAAATGGTGATTATAACTAAGGAATGGAAAGGATGAGGAAGAAAGCGGTCCTAGCCTGTTTAAAGGTAATATCACAGCGTTCACCTGGATAGGCTGGCAAATATAGTACATTCATAGTTTCACTGTTTCTTTAATCATTCAGTAAGAGTCTTTTTCTGTAGCTCCCAGTCTGTATGATTCATTTTCAGCTTCCTTGCACATAATAATAATAATAATAATAATAATGTTCTCAGTATCAAATTGCCTCCAGTCCTTTCAGTGCCTCCAAAAATGTTGCTTTAAGTTCTGCAACTTGCTCTTCTTCTTTTGGGTCTGCTTCCTGCCTAGGGATTCCACAGACCTTAAGAGCACTGTACTTTGTAGTGTAGTACTCTCTCAATTCTATTTCTAGCTGGCCTCTAATCCTCATTATATTTGTATAGCCTCAGGGTGGCCCCCACAGAAAACAGTCTCTCAACTATAGTTCTATCGTTGGATGTTGTTGTGGAAATGTGTCTACTCAGCAGTTGCCTAGCAATATGTGTCTCCTCTGGCTCCATTGTTCCGGCTTTCAGGCGTCATGTCACAATATAATATACCACTGAGATTGCATGACAGAATTTTATCCAGGTATAACTGAAAGTGCTACAAACATGGTGTTCATTAAAATACCTATTTTAATCATGTAGATTTTTGGAATTCAGGTTTAGTGACCATGAAAACTTGACTGATTTTACAAGGACTTGTGGAAGTTCATATTAAAGCTCATTTTAGTTGCTTTAAAAAAGAAACTTGACCCACCATAGTATCTTTGGATTCAGAACATAGAGATGAAAGTTACTTTGAAATCAAGTTTTCACTGTAGTTACTATAGGATTCTGACGATGGTGTATAACACACTGATATATTGGGTTTCTGGACTTTATCCATCGTCCTGGTTTTTAAGATAACAAATAAAAACACGACGTTTCGGAAACTGGATCTGTTTCCGTCCTCAGGTGAAGGAAAAGGGAAACACCTATTCTGTTGGGTCCGTTAGAAAGAGCTAGCCTCAATCACTGGACAATCACCTGAGGACGGAAACAGATCCAGTTTCCGAAACGTCGTGTTTTTATTTGTTATCTTAAAAACCAGGACGATGGATAAAGTCCAGAAACCCAATATATAAGTTTTCTATGTGTTTCATATTTTGAAATTATAATAAATATCTTGGAGAATGACCACATGGAGATCAAAATGAAGATGGAATAATCATATCAAAATGAATTATAGTGTATGTGTGTCAATCTTCTTTTTTAGTATATTGTTTCTGCTAGCTGTATCCATACGTTTTTCACTTTGTGTGTGCATGTTGCTGTGAAACCGAACCAGATTAACAGACTGGCTCTCCTTTATATCATCTAAAGCATTTTCCTTTGTTACATATAGATGCCGGGCACATTTGTTCCTGAACCAAGGAAATCTCGCTCACAAAAACATGAGGATGCTAACTTGAACTATCCTCCAGGAACTCCTATAGATGAAATCTTGGAACTGACATTGAGAGATTTCATTTTAGAAATGGAAGAGAAAATACAAGTGGGTGGTCTGGGCTCTCTAAAGGTATGTTCAAATGGCATATTTATGATTTGTAAGAGTCTGGAAGTTCTATAAGTTACAGGTTATATTTAAGTGCGTGCAAGTTTATGTGTATTTTGTGAACATTAAATTGTGATTTGTGCATAATGTATTTATACACTGGAACAGGAAATTAATTCAAATTATTTTTAATCTTTAAGTACCAAATGCATTAAGTTGTGTTGGTTCTAGGAAAAAAATGAAACTGGTTTTCGTATGTAAAGTGAACCAGTGAACATGTCATTCAGTGACCTGCACTTTTGCTTCATATTTAGTAGGTACAAAGTTCAGTTTTTCATCCATTAAGTGGCTGTTGTATGTGGGATTTTTCATTATTTTCATCAAGTGGTGACCCTTCCCAGGTCATCAGTAATTGGAGGAGGTGGATATGCATCTGTGAGAGAGCACTACCTCAGCAGAAGTACTCAGTGAGAGACTGGTTACCTGTCTTCAGGAAATTAAGTAAACTCTATACTTCCAGAGAAATAGCTGACATATATATAAGGTGCTATCAAAAAGTTCCCAAACAATGTCAAAAAAGAAATGCTGGCTTACGTGGTCTGACAACAAAGTTTGTGAACTCATATGCGGTAAAAGTGCTACATACCTCACTGCTGAATATCACTGTGGTTGCCTTCAAAGTACTTCCCTTGAGAAGCTGTGCACCGATGCCAGCGTCTAGTCCACCCTTCAAAACAATTTTGGAACTGGTTTTGTGGCATGGCCTTCAGAGCTGCTGTTATATTACTACTGATGTCATCAGTGTCATCAAAACGCCTTACTTTCAATATTTTCTTTATCTTTGGGAACAGATAAAAGTCATTGTGGGCTAGATCCAGTTAATATTGGGGGGGGGGTGTTCCAGCACAGTTATTTGTTTACTAGTTAAAAACTCCCTCGCAGACAGTGCTGTGTGAGCACGTCCTTTGGGACCATTTTTGCACACACCTTACTCACGGCAAGATCTTCAGCTAAGATTTTCCTAACTGTTTCTCTGTTGATGTTTGCTTACTCTGCTATGCTTCTGACAGTCAACTGATGATTTTCATGCACAGTTGATGATGTTTTCTTCAGTTTTGCTTGCTGCTGGCCTCCTGATCTCTCTTAATCAGTGACAATTTCTCTACCCTCAGAAAAAAGTGTCACCCGCTTGTAAACTTATGTTTTCTTCATAACATTAGCCCCCTAAACTTGCACTCTGATTCATTTCCACTCTTGCCAAGTTTAACAAGAAATTTAATGTTCTTTTGGGGTTCCNTATTGCTAGTGGGGTGGGACTAAGTCCCTTGTACTGCGGCCACTTCTGGCCTATTGTACCAGCCCCAGATGATAGGTGAGGGTGATTGTGGAGCAATTGGTGGAATGAAGATTGGCAGGGGAAACCAAAGTACTTGGAGAAAACCTGCCCCAGCACCACTTTGTCCACCACAAATCCCACTTGACCAGACCCTGGGATTGAACCCATGCCACCGCGGTGGGAAGCCCGCGACTAACCACTTGAGCTATGGCGCAGCCATGTTCTTTCTTTGCTCTAATTCAAACTCCGACATTCTCGCAATGGCACACCAGAACACACTCAGACAAAACTAGACACAACTCAGAAAGACGCTGCCATGGATCAGGAACAACACAGCTGTGAAATGCTGATATGTCAATGTCATCAAACTGTACTGAGGTTTGTGTCCACTGCTGTACATGATGGCGAGTTTGCGAACTTCATTCTGAGACCTCGTAACTTAGCTCAATTTTGGCTGCCATCTCCTTCAGAATAGTCTCACTTGGAATGTATACAGTGATCCAGCTTCCCACTGTGGAAGTCAGTTTCCTCAATGCTGTCGAGTAGTGCTCGCAATTCCCTTTGGATTTCAGACACTGTTTCAAAATGTTGTCCCTTCAGTCTCATTTTTAATTTGGGAAACAAAGCAAAATCACAGGGGCCTAAGTCCAGTGAGTAGAGAGGATGGGGAACGATAACCATGTTGTTGTTAGTCACAAACTCTGTGGTTTTCAGGGACATGTGGGTGGATGCGTTGTCAGTATGAAGGAGCCAGTTGTGGTTGCGCCAAAATTCCGGCCCTTTTCGTCACATTTTCTTTCAGACGTCTCAAAACGTCACAGTATGAATAAAAGTCAGAGTTGACTGTAGTGTTGGGAGGAAGAGATTTACGGTGAACAATCCCTTCATGTAAAAAAAACAATGAGGATGCTCTTTGTTCAGCTTCCAACACACTGTGCCTCTTTTGCTCTTGGTGATTGTGGGCTCTTACACTGCAATTATTGTTGCCTTATTTCTGGATCATAACAGTAAATCCAACTCCCATCAGCTGTTATCATCCTTGAGATAAAAGTTGGGTCTTTGTTAGCCTTCTCCCATAGCTTAAGACAAATGTTTATATGCCATTGCTTTTGATCATTTGTCAAGAGTCGGGGAACAAATTTCGCGGCATTGCAGCTCATGTTCAAATTATCTGTTACGATCTCCTGTCAAACTCCATAACTGATTGTTTCTATTGGCAGGTTTATAGCCGGGAAGCATGGCGGAGTGCCATCCACGCAAGAAGTTACGACAAACAGTGTGACAAGCTTGTATGGGGTTTAGAAAGTAATTTCAAGAAAGAAGAGAAAAATGTAAGTTCAAAATTTGGCACATAGTCCTGCATTGCACCAGCGCTTATGCATTTGGAGTTCTGTAATACTTTCACATTTGCCTGTAATAATTTTATGATAATGGTTATGGTTTTAATGTCATATATTTGGTATTATCATCTTGTTACACAGTCTCATCGAACAGGTTAATCTTGTGGTAATGCTGTAGACTTGTGTTTGGGAGCTGCTCAGTTCACATCTCTGTCAGGACACGGACTCTCCTGTCTGAAATTTTAAATATGCAGTCTCTTACATAATATTCATCAGTATTTTGTATACTTATTAGAACTGCAGCTTTGGCAATATTAATGTTGAAAAAAGAATTGGAAATCAAATTGTATAACAAATAAATACTATACTTAACCGTTCAGCGTGGTTTGACGTGTATGTTTTGTCAGGTATTTAAATCGTCTGGGGGGGTTCGACGTGTATGTTTCGTCCAGCTGCACACCTATGTTATAACGCCCATAATAATTGATGCATTTGCTGTAGATTGTTAGATTTTTCACTGGCCTGTTGTCAGGAGCACCGTATTTAATGACACACGAGTTTCGCTGCGCTAATTCATCGTTACATATGCCTGTCTTGCAGCAAAATTCCTGTTGCTCTTGGGAGAGGTTTAGTCGGTCCAACTGTAATGGATGGCATGTTTTCTTTCCTATGAACTTATAAACAGCAGAGATGTGATATGTGCTGTGTTTATAATATCATATTGCCCTGAGCTGGCCACACTAACACACTCAATTGGAATTCTTAGAAGATGGATGTACAAAAATTTATTCTTGCAACATCGATTGATTTCGCACAGTACATAGCACCCAGTTCTTAGAAAAACGCCACGAATTAAGGCAGAACACTATGGTCACCCCCTATGACGATACTGGTGTGTGTGGGGTGGGAAAAGAACTCATTCCTTCATGTATTATCGCTCCAGTTGACGCCATTTTATCGTACTGACCTTGGTGGTCGTTTCGAGGGATGACCATAAATATTTTTTTTGAGCCAGCTAAGCTCTGCTTTCGTGCACTACATACCAGCCAGTTCTTAGAATAACTTCATGAATTCTGTGGTCACCCCTACGACATCTACTGCCGCCAAAATGGATGGAATATCAAAGGCATAGCAACAAACCCTTGTTATGATAACTCGTAACGTTGAATTTACTGCAGCTGACCTGATTAGCGAAACTGCTCACGGAAAGACATTTCCTTGAACTATACCCCTCACGGGGTAGAAGGCAAGGCCGCACAGAAGCTGTGTGGTTAAAAAAAAGAGCAAAAGAAAGAGCGATGAATGTGGGGCACCATTGGGTTACACGAATGCTTCAAGGCCTCCCTTACACTGCTAATTCTGAACCACCTGCTTCCTTTGACGAGATACCGGGTGCTCATATTATAAGGTAAGGTTATAAAAACCATCTTTAAAATCATTTTAGTGAAAGTTTCATGCTTCAAGGCGTATCATTCACTGCTCAAATACTAAAAACCTGCCTCCATTGCCGAGATACAGGGCGCTCATATTATAAGGTAAGGTTATAAAACCACCTTTTAAGATCATTTTAGTGAAAGTTTCATGTTCCTATCTCATAGAATTTAAGAACAATGATGAATAAATCATTTTCGAGCAAAATTTAAATGGCCGGCTGAATATATTACCGCCGGAGACGCGGCCGCGGAATTTAAATGACCGCGCCAAAGGGCTAACATTTTATTTTAAAGTTTGTATGAGAGTGCAAATGTAGACTTGTAGGTGGTGGAACATGTTTCATATTTTATGTATGTTTTCTTTTCTTCCCTGAAGGCTCTTATTGACAAAGGATATTCAGAAAGTAAAGCTACAAATTCTAGAGAATATTTGTAAAGCATTTTTTGAAGGGATTCACGTGTAGCAATTTAACAGCACACCTTTATTTACTTCTCAACATAGTCTCCATGGATTGCAACACACTTAGCAAGCCTGGCAATGAGTTTTTTTTTATTCTAGCATCATAGAAATCTCCCACCTGCTCTCTCAGACATGGAGAACAGTTCTTAACACTTATGGACATTGTTGATGAAATTCATCGATGGTTAAATGTGTCAGCACGAATGTTTTCATCAGTTTTTTGGGATGATTTCCTTAGTGACAACAGATGGCCTTCCACTCCATATTTCATCATGAACATCACTTCTTCCCACTTTAAAGTCACGACACCATTTTGCCAGTTCATAAGATCATTGCCATAAACAGAAACAATTTGGCGATGAATTTCAGCAGCAATTTCTTCTTTCACGTGAAGAAATCAAATTGCTGCATGGACCTCACATTTTGCGGGATTTTGAATTGACACAGTCATTTTAAAAACGCTGAACACAACGCTGCTGTAACTCTGGCCGGTGAACTCAGCCCTGTGATACGGTTCCTATCTCACATGGCAGCACTGCCATTTCTGAAAGAAAAAAAAAACTTGCATTTTTACAGGACTTCTATCTTTACTTTCTGTATATCACTCATAGAAAATGTACCTGTCTTTATAGTTGTATGGATTTTAAGTTAAATTATTGCTTCCTGACAGTTCAAAGCTTGGAAACAAGAAACATCTGAAATAGGGTCATAGTACTAATTTTATGAAATATTATTTTATGTCGTAGAGGCAAAGTTAGGATTGAAGTGTATTTTCTTTATTTCTTCATGGTGCAGTGCTTAATTAGTTACGCATTAATTACTTTACTTTGCTGTCATTGCAGGATGTGAATTCTTTTGACATTCCAGTGGAAGAGGATAGCAAAGGTAAGCAAGTAATTTTTATTCTTAGGTTCTTGTGGCATATGTCTAATGTGTATCTTCAGCTTTGGGGGCCTAGTCATGTGATGAGGATGATGACTGTGGTGTGTACCAAAACACTAGAGCATCAAGATGCAATGCAGCCAAAGTGTGAATGCTGTGTGCTGAGGTAAGTGTGTAAGGAACAGCATGAATGTAATAACAGTAGAAGGGAAACACATTTAAATCTATGTGTATGTGTAACGGTTAATGGAATTACCTTGAACTTCTCATATAAATAATAGCAAGAGCAAAAGGTTACCATCTTGCTAAACACTGTAACTGGAGATTATTTAAAAAGATGTGGAGGGTGTCATTTTATTGAAATTCTCATTCCCTAATGTTGACTAGTATATGTGAACAGAAGTGTGACAGTTACAGAATTTTTCACTGTTAGTTGTCTATAAGATTGAGATAGAAATAGTTCTTTGAAATGGATATGTTATAACAGATTTGCATGTGAAATGGGAAATGCATCTACTAACTTAGTCCTTTGAGAATTCTCCTACATTCAAATTTTATTGTATTTGTGTCATTTGTAATAGCAAAATATTTTATCATTTCCTTACTTTCTCATGTACTCCATTTGAGAAAATATTGTAAAAAGGTACAGTTATCCCTGTAACAGACCATGGAGGCTCATAGGGTTGTGAGATGTCAAGGCTGCTACATTTTTTCTAGACAGTTAACTCACAGATGGTGATGAGGTTATCAGCCTTATGTAATGGCCACCCTTTACTTCCAGGAAGATACCTGGTTCTCATTTCTGTTAGAGGTTGAGTCAACCCCAGGGCCATAGTGCAGCTGGAAGGTTTAGGTCAATCAAAAATTCAGTGACCTCATTGGGAATTGAACCTGTGACCTTCCGGCTTGTAGCATAGTGACTCAACCAACTACACTACCATGTGCCCCAAGAAGATATTGTATTCATGAGAAATCAACCCAGAGGTTTTTGACAGATTTACATATTTTAAACCCCTGTGAATATGAAAAATGGTTTTTGGAATCTGTCTGGTCATATGTGCTGCTTGCCAGCACCTAAATATTTGGACAGATTTTATTCATGAGGTATCTGTCATATTTGTGCCCAGTGAATAGGAATATTCTAGTTTAGTGTAGTTTACAATATTATATTTAAGCATCCTGTTGCACTCCATACGATAAATGATATAATGATACACACGTAGTAAAGAATAACAGCGGCACGCACACAGGAAGACTGCACAGGATAACACCTATACAGTGTGGAAACAAGAACTAGCCGCTGCAGCACTTTAGACATAGGGCGAGTAACCCTAACAATTTTAAATTTAAAATTTAGAGAAAAAATTTTAAAAGATTTTAAAATTAGAACTAAAGATTTTATAGTGCTGCTACAGGTACGTCAAAATTAACGTGTGTAAAATAATCTACATCCAGACATATCAACGAAGTAGATGTTGATAATAACAAGAAAAGTGTTTTAAATGTTAAATTTTGGGCTGAGTGCAGTGTGACAGCGACGTGAGTGTTATACACCTGATGATGGCCGTCTGAGGCCGAAACATGTAGTGTAGGTGAACAAGATCAAGGACACATAATATATTGTTTGCNAAAACAGGCATAAGTCAGCTGTTAAATGTACATTTGCTTGATGTTTGGCAGAATGAAATACATCTCGGTTTTTTTTTTTTTTTTTTCAGGTTGTAATTTCTGTTGAAAAGTTGAAAGGTTATACATTTCCATGTATTGATAAAAGTTCTAGCTGAATTGAGCGAAGTGAGAGGTAATACATTACATTCAGAGATCCGCAAACATAATGCTTATCATGCAAATTTAAATTCTTCCATTATTCAGAGAGAAGCAGCAGTCCACACTCAACAGATACAGAGATTTGCTGCAGAGATCCTGGTCGGCTTCTTCTGGAGGACACTGAACCGAACTACAAGCAGAATCCAGTGCTTACTAACCTTGCAAGTGCCATCCTTCAGATTGCACAAAGTGTAGAGAGAAAATACCTGAAAAAACCGCTTGGTAAGTGGATTGTAATCCACAAATTGGAAACATGTGAACTATTTTAGCAGTCTGTAAGATTATGAATAATATCTAAAGCATTGATTTCAGGTGCAGAGGATGGTTCCAGTGATGTCACACTGATGAGACGGTGGGAAGTGAGTTTAATGGCTTCTACAAGTTTTTCACAATTGTTTCTTCATTTTACAACACTTGGTAAGTGCTAATTATTGACAGGAATAAGCAATAAGTTACATTAGTTAACCAATGGGTTAAATTGTATTAACTAACAGTATTAAGGTGCTGGCTGATAATCAGGAGCAGGTGGATAGGTAATTTTTGTCATCTGTGTTGGCTTTGCATGCATTTGTTGAACAGGCCCCAGGAGGCCTAGCATCAAACTCTTTTCAGCATCTACTCCACCAAATAATTTTATTTGTTTATTTGTTTCTCACGTGTTGGAGTGACTATAGAAGCGGGTTGGTATTGGTGAATCGATTTATAGACTACTTACATGACATAACTACAGTTAAGTATGATACTCTAAGGATTACTGTAATTGTAACACATAAATAAAGTTGCTTGCACTAGTCATTGCTAGGTAACTGATGTCAACTATGGCTAAGCCTTGGTAATGTTTTCACTATCCATTTCCAGTCAGTGGATTTTACACAGGAACTATAAAAGTCTCCCTTAATCCCACGCTCCCAATGTTACTGTACTACAGCACACACAAAGTCTTCAGATCACTCATTGAGTCTTCGCAGGCTGACGTATAATGCTTCTTCTGCTACAGACTTCTCTTGCCTGACTTCAACTGCTTTGTAGTGCCACAAGTCTTTAAGATAACTCCTTGGCACAGACCACACCCAGAAAACATGTCACATGTTCACTATCTCCCCAGTCCTTTGGTGCGCTGGCTGGACCCACAGAAAACATATCACATGACCGCCACACACCCAACTCATTGGCACGCTCCACTGCCTAGCAGTGAGCTATAACATTCATCCTCTTGTTGCGTGTACTTATCATGGGGTGTTTATCGAGCTGTTGCCTAGCAATGCTTTGAGCAAATCCATTAAGATATATATATTTTATGTTTACTATTTGAAGAAACTAAGAAAGTTTAGGAGTTGGTTTTTATTCTGTGCTTGAAAAGAGTAATTTATGTTAACAGTGAGGCCCTGTTGATTAATCAGCCATGTCCATGTATAGTTGGTATCCAGTTGCACACTTATAACTTTAACAGAGAAGGATTTCCTCTAAGCTCTTCATGGTATCCAGCCACAGACTTAATAAGTCATGTAAGAGAACTTAAAAATCATCACAAAGAAGGACCAGTGATGAGCAACATGAATTTGCATAATTGACTGACTGTTCTCTGTATCTGCTCTAGAACAGGTTATGACTGACCATCTGACTCCCTCACTGTTCTCCACATGCTCCAGACTGGGATGAATGAGACCTCTGTATGTAAATATAATATGAAAACTTAACACTCATCACATCAACCCTTGCTGGTGGGGACAGAGACAGTCTCTGAAATGTTTGACACGGATTCCACATTGACATGGCTGATCATATGAGATGGCTTCATTTTATACTGTCACCCTAAAAACTTCTATTGATGTCCAGTAATTTAAGTTATGTGATATGTAATGTAGTCTCTTAATCACTTTACTGGAGAAATTGTCTTGAGAATAGTAAAATTTTCAGTAAATTGAGGTGCATAATGAATGTTTGATTTACATTTGAGGAAATGCGCATGTAACCTAAAATTTTGCTGTGTGTGTAGGAACTTTTCCCAGAACCACCCTCCTACTAATACAGTATCTGTAATAATTTGTATTTTATGCATTGGTTTTCTTTCTGTGCCAGAGTGATCCATTGAAGTGTTCTGAAATGATTGGGTAGTGTTATTGCTGAGTCATAAATTCAGAATCCTTGCTTCTAAATATGTAGAATCTGCATTTTCAGTTTAATACAGCTTTTGAAAATGTACAGAGTTTTTAATATTTGACACCCACTTTTTCAGTTAACAGTATTCAGTGGTCCAGATCAGCTTCAAATGCTCACTGTCGTCTGTGTAGACGACGTGGTGATGCTGAGAACATGCTGCTTTGTGATGGATGCAATAAAGGACACCATCTTTATTGCCTTAAACCCAAGTTAATAGTATGTAGATTTTCATGAGCTACCATTCTTCCTAGATAATAACATTGTTTCATCACATTCTGATGCTTTGAGATTGTTGTAAATTTTTATTTTCATATTAGATTTTACAAATGTCTCAATATTGATTAATGTGTTGCAGTAAAAGTTTTCATGAAACTTTTCAAATTTTATGGATGGTAATTATAGAGATTTAGATTTTGACTTTTTGTATTAGGTTCTGGCTTTTAAATGTAACATGAGTATATTAACATAGAATTTTCTCATGGTGTAGAGGGTTCCACAAGGAGATTGGTTTTGCCCAAAATGTCAGAGACCAGAAAAGGTTCGTGCATCTAAAAAGACCAGACGTCTGTTTTCTCAAGAATCAGACGAAGATGATGTGCAGAAGGAAAAGGCTCAAGAAACACAAAAGTAAGTATGTGTTTTGGTATTACTTCAGGAAGGTTTGTAACTGGTTTTGCTCTTTGACAAAGGTTTGGTTTTATTTTATTATAGCAATAACCACAGTAGATTTTAAAATTGTACCAGAAAGTGGTATGAACTTGGCTCTTTTATGTTTGTGCATGTGTGCATGAGCTGTTGCTTTGAGATGGACAGTAACTTTGCCACAGCCCCAGCTCTTAGAGATTATTCAGTCTGTACTTACAGAGTTAGCACTGAACAAACAGACAAATAGGCGTTTTTCTGTGGTAAGGGGAGTGAAATTTATGAATTAGTTACAGGTTTCTCATACATAAGGGAATCATATCAGCAGTGAAGAAGGGTAGAATTTGTAGTGATAGGATATCATACATAATACAAAGAGGTCACGGGTATGATATCGTTGTTCTCAATGTTAATGTTCCAACAGATAATGAAGTTTATGCTGTAAGGGACAGGTTCTACCAAGAACTAGAACATGTATTTGATAAATTCCCAAAATACCATACGAAAATTTTGTTAGGAGATTTCAATGCTGAAGTAGGTAGGGAAGGCATATACAAACCAATGATCGGGAATGAGACATTGTATGAAATTAGTAATGATAATGGAGTTAGAGTAGTAAACTTTGCACATCCAAAAATCCAATTTCTATTACAGTCTCAGTTTGTGCCTGTGTGACAATCATAATGAAATGCATCCAGTGTAATGCTATAGGCATAGAAACTACAGGTGGTATGAATCCTGTCCACAAAAGTTACAAAAAGTTATTTTCATTATAGCCACGCCATAGCTCAAGCGGTTAGTCACTGGCTTCCCACCGTGGTGGCCCAGGTTAAATCCCAGGTCTGGTCAAGTGGGATTTGTGGTGGACAGAATGGCACTGGGGTAGGTTTTCTCCAAGTACTTCGGTTTCCCCTACCAAACTTCATTCACCCGAAATCTCCATCATCATAATCACCCAGGGCAGGCTACAATAGGCCAATCAGTGGCCACCATGCCGAGTGGACCCAGTTGAACTAAGCGAATTAAAAAAATTTGATTAATTAAAATTATTTTCATTATGAATGTGGTAACTGAAGTGCATTAATTTGTTTGGTTATAACATGAAACAGATAAGGGTTCGTGTGTAGTTTATGCACCATTACTGTAACATGCATTTTACCATTAAGCATGAAAGGTGTTCCACAACTATTTGTAACATACATAAAGTAAAAAAAGTTGTGTGTATTCTAGTTGTGGCATTTAATACAAACTGTAATATGATGTATGAATGTTAGTAGTGAGATATAAACTGCTTCATATGTTATTTTCTAACTTTAGTTCAATATGAGTCGCCACACGTATTCTCAGTTTTGGGTAGAGTGTGGATGGGAATTGTGGGTGTGCTGAAGATAGTGGGTGGGACTTTCACCTAAATAATGCTTGTGAGTATAAGAGGATATTAAATTATGGAAGATCTTTAACTTGTCAGTTCAGGTAATGCTAACGATGATGGGAATGTTGGCTTTTTTGTCATTATTTTCGTATCCACATGACTACCCCAAGAAAGAGAAATATTATGTAAGATTTGAGGCTTTCACGGCGGTGACTATGAAGAAAGCAGTCTTCTGGGATTTGGTTAACACCACATATACACGGTGCCAAATCCCAGAAGACTGCTTTCTTCAAGAGAAATATTGTACTCTCATTATTCAGACCCTAGCGCCATATTGTATTATTCATAATGGGGAGTTAAGAGAATGGATGTGTAAATAAACCAACCCTTTACAGTACTAAAGCTTTTTGTTGTGTTTTTTTATGTGTAGTGAATATTCTTCATTAAAACTAGGTAAAATGTTGAATTCGTATTTCAGTTGTACCCTTCTCCATTTAGCTCTCTGATTATTGTGTAAGTGTAATGGTACCTGACTTAATTCTGTTTCAGCATATCTGTTATTGTCACAGACATAACATTTATTGTATGTGACTTAAAAATCCACAGTATGAAACTAATTGTGTCTCCTGCACCAAGAAATAAGTGTTCCACGTGTATACCAGAACTAATAATACAAAATCAGCTGTCAGTGCAACAATCTTTCATTATTTTGGGTTACACTACATGTTTCAACCCTGAAAGGGTCATCTTCAGGTGTTTCCATTTACACATTATTAATTACCAAATGGTGAATTTGTATCATTAGTTGTACTTACACAGCAGGATGCAGACAGTAAAAATAATGTATAGTAGAAGTTTCAGTTCTTGCCATTCTTCTTTTGGCTGGTCACTTTTGTGTAAACAGCGTTATAATGTTTGGTGTCTTTGTTGGAATGAAATCTCTATTTATAGTTCCTTTAAGCAGCAGATTACATTACATTACTTTACATTTATTTTCACTTCATGGATCCAATCAACTCGCCGTAGGGCTGGATATAAAACATGTCACATATTACAAATTCATGATGACTACACATTCATCCTTTTTTCCAGTAAAATATATAATCAGGCCTCTCACAGATAGCTCAAGTTGTCAGGATAACACACATGGGTCGTGGTAAAACCACTGTCAAATTCACACCTTGCCATTCCACACACACTGGCAAGCCATATCATTAAAACAGTTATATTATAAAATATTAAAATTCATAACTAAAACAGACATCATAGATACTACTACACTTACAACAAGTAAGTCTCAACAATATATAATTCACGCACAGAGATCATTTATTAACGTTTAAGCCCCTTGCATGCTCGACAAATTCATCACTAGAGTAAAATATGCTACTTTGCAAATCATTTTGTAAAACAAACCTAGATTGCTTTTTATCATTTTTTAAAACTGATATTTGACGGCAGAGGGTGCTTGACACCCCTCTCTGATAGGATGATAAATGTGTTGAAGGTATGTGAAGGTGGTCATTCCTTCTGGTACCAATCACATATGAAGAGTTATTGGTTTGAAACTTATCCAAATTATTAACAACAAATGTCATCAGTGAAAGCAAATATACACATGGGATTGGTAGTATGTCAAGCTTTTTAAATAGATCTCTACACGTATATGAATATTATGAATACTAAACTGGGGAAAATTTTGAATGGAGGAATTTAACAGTTTGATTATTGATTTAGGATCTTTGAAATTGATTGTTAAACGAAAGAAAATTTTCAAGGAAGTGGATTCCACTGTACAAGAAATATACTGTTATCTGTTCTGCCACGTTTATGTGCAAGTGCCTGTGATCTATTCACTCACAGTGCAGTGCTCTGTGAAAGTACTATCAGTATCATGTACAGAAGTGAGAAGTCACAAGGGTGAAATATGTGTAAGGATTCCATGTACGTGAAAGTTATCTGTACCCTCTTACCATTTGCAGAACTGTAAGTCTTAAGTGGCACAGGTTTTTTATTTCTCAACATGTACATTAACATTCTTTCAAATTCTGTGTTTTACACCATTTCTTTAATTATTAAATTGTAATCGTTGCAGTGTTCAGTCATACGGTTTTAATTTCTTTGCATATTGGATTAGGTTCCCTACATGTGCTTATTCCTATACCCTTTTCCCCTTAACCAGTCATAGAATGTGAAAGAGTGGTTACCTTAAGTATCTTTTGGTTTGTACAGAATAGAACAAGTTCCTGTTTTATTTCAGTGAAGGGACTGAGGTGGAAGAGGTATGCAATTCATGTGGCTTGGGTGGTCACTTGTTGTGCTGTGACACATGCCCCCTTCTGTTTCACATGGACTGTATTGTGCCACCATTGAAGAAGGTACCAAGAGGAAAGTGGTCTTGTCCTAAGTGCAAAATGATAAAAGGTGAGTAATGTTTTGTTGATTTTGTAATTGTTAGAACATGAAAATTTGTAGGAAAAGTTTCTGAAGTGTATGCACCAAAATATGTGTATAGATTGTATGAGAATATTTAGTGGGTTTTTTATATATATATATATTTGTCTGTTGTGAATGCAGACTGAAGTAAATTTCTGTTGTTGTCACTTTACTCTGCTGCCTACTGTGTGATTTTCTCACATCTCTTCGTGTAAAAGGAAAATTAGAAAGGAAGTACCAGTCCACGGACCTGATACTGTATTGTAGCGTCGTATAGCACTTTTCCATTTTATTGTAAATCTTACTTACAGTCTTATGTGCAAGTATTTATTAACTTCAAAGTTTAAAATTTTTAAGTTTTAAACTTAAAACTTAAAAGTCAACATGTTTCGGCCAATATGACCATCATCATGCATTAGAATATATCTAATGGGGAAACTGCTGCTTTCTGTGTTGCTGCTACTACATGTGTAGGTCCCTTGGACCTACACGTCAGCAGTGATGAACTCAGCAGGAAGAAACATGGCACTCTTAACTACAGTATGTCCCTTGGGACTCGAGACCATATTTTACTGTCTCAGATTTGAGACTTCCCTTTTTGTCATCACCTACGACTCACAGGGTCACAGTGAAGGTATTCGACCCTGCCTCCACACGGGGTTAAACTGTCAGTTACTGTTGGCTTCTTGTTATATAGCCACGGGTCAGACCACACAGCAAATACATCCATTGCCTAGCAACGGATGTCCTCTATTGTCATGTATACATTGCCATGGGATGTGTTCACTGAGTCATTGCCTAGTAATGGGTCTACTCTGTTGTTGGTTGCATATTTGTTGCAGGCTTGTTTGCCAAGTCATTGCCTAGCAATGAGCTTACACATCAAAATATTTTATGAAGTTAAACATGTATGATACATGTAAGATTTGAGGCTTTCACGGCGGTGACTATGAAGAAAGCAGTCTTCTGGGATTTGGCACCGTGTATATGTGATGTTAACCAACGTTTCGGAGGAACGTCGGTTAACACCACGTATACACGGTGCGAAATCCCAGAAGACTGCTTTCTTCATGTATGATACACATTGTTATTGTTACTGGATTTTTATAGCCTTATTATAATGAGAATTCCCCCACCCCGACATTACAGCCCCAGTGGGCCTAGGACTACCTCCATGAACTTCTCCGTTCACTTCGGTAGGACTCCTTTGGAGGGTGATCAGCTCATCGCAAGGCCTCTACCTGTGCACAAACACAAAAACACATGCACAAACTAAACATCCATGTCCTGAGTGGGATTTGAACCCATGATCCCGGTTTCCAAGCGAGCAAAACACTTACTGAGAGTTTACCTTACATAATTGCTGCACAGCCCTGTGCTCTCTTCATTATACAAGAAGTGTAGGTTATTTTCATTGTGTTTGGAATTCTCTGATCCATACCACATATTTTGGTGCAGTCGAGATAATTGATTTAAGGTGTACATGTATGTATGTATGTCTGTCTGTCTGTCTGTCTGTAATACAAGCGCACATGTACTATAAATAGAGACATACCATACATATGTAATAGTTTTTTATTCTTTCTAATTTATGCTTTTTTAAATTATACATATGCACACGGATCTTGATTATATGAAATGAATGGTACTGGGGCTGTCTCAAATGATAAAAATCTGGATAACAGAGACCCAGCATTTTATTAGTGGTTGGATTCATTTGTTATGTACTGTAATTGCAGTAACTAAATGACTGATTTAGGCTAGGGAAGGTCTGACAAGCGTGTTATGGGCCTATGCAGAAACGCGGGATTCATTTGGCATGAGTCTCCTGAGGAGGAATTTAGGTTTGGGACAGTGGTGGGTTGATCAGCAGAAGTCTTGGTTAGTAGAAGGATGTGTAATCATGTTCCCATTGTACGAGGGGGTACCCAAAAGAAACCAAACTTATTTTTTTTTAACTTATTTATTCAGATTTTAAGCACAAACCTTCAATCCCCTTCAAAGTACTCTCCACTTACACTAATACACTTGTCTAGTCTTTTATTCCGTTTTTCAAAACTTTGTCTAAATTCATCTTTTGAGATGCTTGACAGCGCCTCCGTCGTTTTTTCCTTTCGTGTCTCTTTTCATTCGAGGAAACAAAAAAGAGTCGCACGGGGCAAGGTCGGGTGAGTATGGAAGGTGAGGAACAGGGGTCATACCATTTTTGGTCAAGAATTGTCATACAGACAGGGCTGTGTGAGCAGGGGCATTGTCATGATGGAAAAACCAGTCACCCGACTGCCACAAATCTGGCCGCTGAGCTCCAAGTCACTCCCAACAGCTCCACAATTTCTTCAATGGTCCGTTGTCGATCTTCCTTGATTTCATGAATTTTTTCAACATTTTCGTGTGTTCGGGCCGTGGAAGGACAACCAGAACGAGGTTTGTCATCAGTTGACATTTCACCATTTTTGAAATGGGAAAACCACTCAAACACTTGAGTTTTTCCCATAGCATCGTCCTTGTATGCTGTTTTTAACATTTCAAGAGTTTCTGTTCCACTTTTCCTGAGTAAAGAGCAGAATTTCACCGCCACATGCTGTTCACGAAAATCAACCATTGCAAAAACGACAATCACACAAAACAGTTGTCACTATAAACTCTGCCGAAACTAGTCCTTACCTTCTGAAGTAACGGTAGTCGGCTTATCGACTCAGGAATGTTAGCTCTATGCGCTCATAGCGGCAAAACGCGATACTACAAAAGCTCTGCCCACAAAAAAATGAGTTCGGTTTCTTTTGGGTACCCCATCGTATACATGTGATATGTCAATATAATTTCACTGTTTGTATTGTTAACATGAAGTGTACTGGAAAATTGATAAATGATTTGTTGTGTTACCTTCTGTATTTCTAATTCTTCTCTATTCTTTCTTATTTATTTGTCATATTGAATTTGAAAGCTGGTAAAATGATGATGAACGTACATGAAAAGAACAGTATTAATATCCTGGACATTCTCCATTGTCTGGGTCAAATGTGTAAAACTGGCCAAATGCTTGCACCCCTTCAGTGCCTTTTGGCAGTCCTCAAGCAAGTCATATATATCTCAGTCTTTGTTGAATGACTGACCATGGTTTTTCCATGTCATAAAATGGAAGTATGTGGGCAGGTGTCATTTACTAAGCCACATTGATGTTTAACTCATTTTACTTTCTGAAGTTGCTGCTGTTAATTCAGCTAATGCAGTGAAATTCCCCTTTAAGTTTTTTTTTTTTTTTTTTTTTTTTTTTTTTTTTTTTTTTTTTTTTTTTTTTTTTTTTTTTTCGCGGGAGCTGTTGTTAAATTTGAACTGAGGAAAATCTTAAATGGAGGAAATTTTACACAGAAATTGCTTAGATCATTGAAATTGAATGTTAAGTGAATGAAAACATTAAATGATGGTAATATTATATTTTGAGGAAGGTTGGGCAATCTAAGAAGACAAACCCAACCTTTAGGTACTGTTTGGTCAAAAAAACAATTAGTGTACAGGTTGAGAAGGGAGCGTAATGATGACTTGCATTTCTAAACTGTTTATTTCTTTTCTGGTCAAACAGTAGCTATTCACTGCCTTTATCAAAATGAAATTCCAATAGAATGTGAAAAGTGGAAGAGGATCTTACATTTCAAGAGGTGCAGTTCTTTATCTCAAGTCACGGACAGTATGGTGCCATCCCTGTTTGAGGAATCTCTTGGAGATGGTTCTTCTTGCATTAGATAGAGGCTTTCACTAATTGTAGTTATACAAAAATATGTCAGGAAACTATCCTTTTAAGACTTGCTATAACTATTATAAAATAATTTATTTACATAAATAATTAAAACAGTAAGGCCCAAGTTGAGAATCAGAGTAATTAAGATGATGCACGGCGATGTATCTTCAGTATGTGACATCAGTCACCAAAGATTATGGTTGTACAATAATAATTCATGGCAGACAGAAAATGGTTGTTTTCTCCATAATCACGCAAAATCGAGATATGAGCTCTGGAAGGTTTTATGTTTCTTACACTGAATGTAGGTTACTAAAGTAAAATTAAAAAAAAAAAGTAAAGCTATCCCTGTAACAGGCCGTGAAGGCCCATAGGGCTGTGAGATGTTGAGGGTCCCACACTATCTAGACAGTCGGCTCAAAGATGACAGTAACGTTGTCAGCCTTACGCGCTGGCCGCACTTCACTCCCCAGGAAAATTATTTAATTAATTCTTGGTACTCATTTCTGTTAAGGCTGAGTAAACCCCAGGGCCTAGTGCGGCTGGAAGGATTGGGTCAACTGAAAAAAATCCAATGACCTCATCGGGACTTGAACCCACGACCTTCCGGCTTGTAGCATAGCCACTCAACATTGCCTAAATTTATGTTTTTGCTGGAACAAGAAGAAATATTCACTATGTGTGGGAACACTAATGCCACCATGTTACATGTCTTAGTTGCAAGCAAACACCATTTTAGATTACATCAGGTGCCGTTGAACTCACAAAGAAAGACATGACACATTTGTAGGAAAGTGTAGTGAAGAGAAAATGTTCAAATTAAAATCTAGGTTTAGAAAAGCAGCGGTTTCCATGTAGTCAATGAAGCAAGTGAAACAAAATTGAAAGCAAGTTATGCATTGTGTCATTTAATGACAAAGATTATGTTCCCTGATTAAATGAAGGATTTAAAAGACATTAATCTCAGTAGATACACAGTGTCTGAACGAATGATTGACCTTGAACGTGACTTGTGAGATTGGTGCAAAAGTGCCTGTTAAAAAGTTTCAAGCCTACTCTGTAGCAGTTGATGAAAGTACAGATGTCAGAGATATTTCTTAGACATTTTGTATGAATTTGGAGGAAATACTGAAAAATATGGACTTCCAGTTAACATGGTCAATGTCAGTCACTATAAAACTCACTTTATATGATGGAGTTTGAAGTTCAGGCATGGGGATTTACATTACTGAAGAAAGAAATCATTTTGTGT